CGTGAGGACCTTGCAAGAGCTTTTGGAAGAGCCCATTTTGAACCTGGTGCCGGGGGGGGGGGGGGGCTTTGGGGCCTGTCCCCAAAAGATCAAGCAGTGAAACTCTTGCTCTCAAGGCAGGTGCACCTTCTCCCGTGTCACGAACTGTGTTTCAGCCTGACTTTCCATGCTAGGACTTCTTTTTTCGGGGTGGGGTGCAGGAGCTGCTAAGGAGGAAATACAGATTTGTTCTGAGGTTCTGGGAGGAGCAGGGGGAGTTATTGCAGAAGGAGAAGGAATCAGCTTTACTATGAAGTAGGAGATGAACTACAAACAGCCAGACCCTGAGGTCATTCCCTTGAAATGGGGTGCTTGCTCTGCCTCCCAGTCCTGGGCTCATGCACAGAATTTGCGTGTTTGTACACGCACAGCCAGGCAATGCTAATGTGAAAAGTATTTTGCTACATGGAAACCAGCTCTCATACTTTCCTAGTAGCGAAAGACCAATACTTTTGCCATGGTAGTGAACTCAAAATACAAGCACAACCTTCTCTTTGTATACAGTGAACGGTAAGAGAGCGCCTTTAAGTGACTCTCTCAGTTTTTCTCTCTCTCACACACACAACCCCATTCGGTGCAAAGCCAAACGGGAGGAGCACATTATTTTGCTGCCACAGACCTCCATTTCCCTCTGGATGTCCCTGGCCCAACTGCTTCCCTTCAGCCCAACCTGCCTCTCAAGACTGCAGTGCTGAGAAAGATGGGGAGATCTTTAGATCACAGAAACCAGACAAAGTATGCATATAATGAACTACAATAATTCTAAACTAGAAAGCACCATTTTATATTATTTTCATAATGAGAGAGTCAGTGTGGTGTCGTGGTTAAAAGCGCAGGGCTGGGACTCTGGCAATCCGGGTTCAAGTCCCTGCTCAGCTATGGAGCTAACATGGATGACCTTGGGCCAGTCACAGAAACATAGAAAACAGAGCGAGTCAGAAGGGGCCTCCCGGGCCATCCAGTCTGACCTCCAGCACCAGCCGGCTCTGTTCACGACATGCCCACCATGTGCACGTCCAGCCTATCCTTGAACACCCACACCGATGGGGCCTCAGCGACCTCTCGTGGAAGCTCATTCCACACCCTCAGAGTCCTGACTGTCAGGAAGTGCTTCCTGGCATCCAAACGAAACCTTGGCTCCCTGAGCTTTGCTCCGTTGGAGCGCGTCCTGCCTTCCTTTGCAGGGGAAAACAGGTCTCTACCCACATCCATGTGACATCCCCTCACATACCTGCATGTTGCCAACAGATCCCCTCTGAGTCTCCTCTTCTCCAGGCTGAAGAGACCCAGTTCCCTCAGTCTCGCCTCATACGAGATCCCCTGCAAACTGGCCACCAACCTTGTGGCCCTACGCTGCACTGACTCCAACCTGGCTATATCCTTCCTGTAATGAGGGGGCCAAAACTGAACACATTACTCCAGTTGTGGGCACACCAGAGTTGTAGTAATACCGCTCCTGATCTAGAAGCCACACTTCTTGCTATGAAATCAAGGGTGGCATTCGCCCTCTTGACCACCGCATCACACGGCTGACTCATGTTCAGCCTGCAGTCAACCAGCACCCCGAGGTCCCTTTCACAAGTGCTGCTCTCCAGCCACTTATCACCTAACCTGTACTTATGACAGCTATTCCCATGCCCCAAGTGCAAGACCTTGCACTTATCCACATTGAATGCCATCCTGTTGTCTCCTGCCCACTTCCATAGTCTGTCTAGATCCTTTTGGATCTGGAGTACCTGCTCCTCAGTTGTGGCCACTGCTTCAGTTTTAGTGTCGTCTGCGAATTTGATCAGCAGACTGTTCACCCCTTCTTCCATGTCGTTAATGAAAAGATTAAACAGGATCAGCCCCAGGACAGAGCCCTGGGGGACCCCGCTTGTCACTGGCCACCATCACGATGATTCCCCACAAATGGTTACCTTCTGCTTTCGGTCAGTCAACCATGCCCTAATCCACCGGACAGTGCCTTGGTGTATCGAAAACTCCTCAGTTTCTCCACCAGGATATCATGGGGCACTTTGTCAAAGGCCTTGCTGAAATCCAGGTATACCATATCCACTGCATCCCCTCCATCTAGCCATCTCGAAACCTTGTCATAGAATTCCACAAGGTTTGTCTGGCAGGACCTGTTTTTGCGGAAGC